GGAGTACCCTCCTTGAGTCATGGAGAAAAGGAATACAGGGTCCACAAATTCCTTTTCTCCCCTGACTCTGGAGGGCATTCCAATACTTCACCGTGGAACAGCAGTGTCCTCCTAAGACAGGTGCCCAGGCGTCTTGACAAACTGATCTCTGCAGCACTCTGTAGCACTCCCCAAAGTTGCAACTGCTGGGGAATTGTTACCTTTCAAGTTTCATTTAGCAACAAACTGCCATGGAGGGCCATCGAGACTGCCATCCTGAGTGACCTGTGATGCCTTTAGGTGGAACACCTTGCATCCCTGCAGCCTGCTCACTCCTGCAACCTACTTTTGGTAGTTACAAGTGCTACAGTACATCTTGGCCATGGAGTCCTCCCTTGAAGACAGAAAGGTTTTCACACTTCTTCTGAGAAGGCTAATTGCTCTCATACCTGTCTTTCTGCAGGTTCTCGGATGGAATATGTCTGGACAAGGAAATTTTGCTGGACCTGTTCCTGCAACTAGGCTCAACAGTTGAAGCAGGTTTCCATATCTTTTTGTGAGCTACTGGGATCAGTTAGCAGGATGGACATGGATATGAGGATATGAGATCCTTCAGGCCACAGCACCTCCAGTGTGTTTATGCCTTCCATTCCTTGACTTAGGTGTCTTACAAAGAATCTTGGCATCTGAGAATGTTCTGTGGTAGCTAATAGAGCCAGCTCTGGAGTCTCAAAGTACTGCCATCTCCACTTAAAATGTCTCCATCCTGAGTTTCCACTCAGGCCCCTCCACTGTTGTTGTGCTAAACCAGTCTGCCATGATGTCGGTTAGGTCTGACAGGTGCTCTGCCTTGACAGAATGGAGGTGCTACAGTGCCCAATCCATTTGTGCACATAAAATAATAAAAATAAAAGAATAAAAAGAATAAAACTCTGCACACGTTGAGTGCATTCCCTTTGTATGCCTGGTCTTGTATGCCTCTAACATGATGAGAACATGGCAACTGCAGAATGGAAGCAAGACCAGCTTGATGGCTCTCAGTTGTTACTTTCCTTTGCTTTCTCCATCGTCCTTTTCCCTGGGGCCAGCTAACTGTCTAGATGCACTCCCAACCTAACAGACTTGCATCCTTGGTGATAAAAAGCCTGTCCGAAACTGTTAAGCATATTGCTTGTGCCAGATGCTATGAGCTGAAACACTAATCCAGAAGGATGCACTCCTACTGTAGAATAACAATCTGTAGAGATGTCCACACTGCAATATAGTGCTGATGGGGTTATGGTAGCTTTCACTGGGGCTTCAGGGATACCCTGCCACCATTATGCTAACACCTGAAGCTATGCTATGTAATATCATTACACTTGTTTTTGTGGGCTTGCACACAGAGGTAGTTTAGCCTGAAAGCTTTTGCTTTCTTGCTGGTAGCTAATGCACTTGGAACTGGAATATACCTGCAGATACACATAGGCGTTCCTTATTATGAGCTTGGGTTTACGTGTTCTTAGTGCCCCTTGTGGTACTCCAGAACTGTCCACAGGTCCCTGTGGCTCTGACTCTTGGAAAGGGACTACAGTAGAATGTTGTCAAGATATACCCCCATTTTGCCTTAGCTCTGCTTGGTGAACATCCTGGCTGCTGCTGTGAGGAGGAATGAACTGAAAATATCACGTACTGTAATGGAAACAAAAGAGATTTGAGTTCCAGTGTCCTGTAGCAGTTAAGAGTGCAGGACTGGGACTCAGACACCCTGGGTTCTAGTCCCTTGTCAGCCATGGAGCCAACTAGGTGGCTTTAAGCCCAAACTAACTTACGGGGTTGTTATGGGGATAAGATTGAGAAGAGGAAGAAGAGAATGATGTACGCTGCTTTGAGTTCTTTAAAAAAGAAAAAAAGTGGGATATAAATCTATTAAATAATCCCCCCTCCCTGTGGCTGGGGTTGATTAGCATATGCAAATACATTTCTCTTAGGTTTCCAGATGCCAGAAAGCCATCCTTGAGTGACCCTAAGGACTGCCACTATTGACCCCCATATTTTCCATGGAAGTGCTCCTTCTTTAGAAACTTGTTCAGACAGAGTAGTTCCAGTATGGTCCTGGTTCTTCAGATCAGAAAAAGCAGCAGGGAGATGAGGTGTGGCACCATTGTGACTTGCCAATGCCAGTGAAAGTGGCAGTTCTCCCAGTGCAGGTGACTTTCCTTCTGCCTAGCCCATCTCTCATTCTTCTCACTATGGGAGAAAGTGATAGGTTGGATGAAGCGACTGAGTCCACTTTCCTCCTCTGTCAGAGAAGGGAGACCCTCAGCTGCCTTCCATTTGCTTACCCCATTGTGGCAAGACTTTCTCGTCTCCAGATCCCAACAGCTTTTATTGTTCAGCTTTTACTTCTGTGAAAGGGTAAATGTGAGTTGGGACTGAGAACTTTAGTCTATATAGAATAGGATGGAGGTGGAGTGGCAAAGGTGTAAATGGAAAATATCTAAGAAAAAGTCCCTGGTGGTTTGTGGAGAACCTGCATCCCTAAAGCTAGGCTTAGCGAGTCAAGGGCATCAAAAGGCCCCTTAAATTCCATAATATCCAGAACAGGTGGCCCTTGCCTCCATTCAAGGAGAGGAGCCTGGCTGCAAAGTACTGAAATGCTCTCCAAAGTCAGAGAATTATTAAATTGCTGCACATGGAAAACTTGTGCATTTGTGGAAAGACTAGGCTCCAAATCCTTTCTTTGACTTCCAAGTTGGCAGGATTTCCTTTAGTAAGTGGTTCTCATCCCAATTAGAACTAGACCAAACACAACTCTGATGTGGAAATCAAAAGTCTCCAAAAATCATTTTGGATCCTTAAGTCCTTACAAATCCAAACAGACAAGGAAACAGTGCCTAATTATTATGCTAGTTTGTAAAAATCATTTAAAATTTATTGTTTGTTGTTTCTACTTTTGTAGTTTACTTCCTTGAATATCTTATTATCAACCAGCATGATATTAAACAGAGTATTGTAAATACAAAGATTTTCTCACAGTATACCGGCAGTTTTCCCATGGAACACAATTTGTGAGTTACTGAGTTAGGATGTGGAAATGTCTGCTTGCTGGGTAAAGAATGGTGGAATATGGCTCAAGAACTTGGGGGACTAAGTGTGGTTCCACTTAACTCCTCCTTTTCTGACAAGCAAACTGCTTATGGAAATTGGTGTTGATGGTAACAGAACTGGCTGACCAGCCATTTTAGGGGATGGAGGCTGAGTTGCCAGGCCTCAGCATCTGTTTTTACTGTGGAGGAGTGGAAGATGGGTAGCTAATCAGGGGTGGAGAAGGAACAAGTGTAAAAATGTAATTCATTCTGCAGGTGCTCTGATTAATTATATTAAGCATCATTTCAGGGATGGATATTTGCATCCTCAAAATGAAAACCATGTCCAATCTTTGTCTCCAAAAATGAAGTACTATACAATAGCCTTTTATTTATTTGATCCCAAGACCATTGGAAGCATAAAATAAATTAATAAATTGCTCCCTTTTCAGGTTGTCCTAAATAATGGTAGGGCTGGTCATGGAAGAGCTCCCACCTGCAAGTACTACAGACCAAATGCCTTAGTCACGAATAGGTCAGAATGACCTGGGCAATCCCTCCTTCTTGAGATCTTGAAGAGTTAGATGCTCACAGCTTATTTACTATTCCACAAATGATGGCTCTTTCTATGTTTGACACAAGTTTTTTCCAGGCACTTCATCTAAACTGACTGAGATCATAATCATCAGCTGATGTAATTATAAGGTCATTAATCTCATATGGATATATATTATACATGCATAAAAGAAAGCTCATGGTTATTAGTCTGGCTGAATAGTCCTTTAGCTAATTTAGTTAAACAGCAATTGCTGCTGTTGTTTTTTTTTCCACCACACAACTCTTAGCCCCATTTGGGCAACAGTTTAGATTCTATTAGTGAATGCATCACTCCTTGAGGAACTGGCAGAATGAGAGCTGACACCGTCATTTTGATGACAGGTCAATTGTGAATGGGCCATACATATTAAAAGGGCCACCTCTGCCCCAGAGCAATGTATGTAGATTTTCCTGCCTCTATTCATGTATATCTACTAACCATACTAGATGCCGCTGTGCACCCATGTCCCCCTTTAAGTTTGGTTGATTACACTTGCCTGGTCCTCCCACTTAGATGCCACCTGGATAAAGGTATCACAGAAAAAGGTGCATATACAAGGCAGCAAAGATGAAATAGAAATAGGCATCCCTCAGAAGTGATGGTAACACCCTGCACACTTTCTCTGTGCTGTTGCTGCTACTTCCCAAAGGACCAGGCACCATCCATATGGGGCACTAAGGCACATTTTTAGAGCCACCAAGTGCAAAAATACTTTACATGGCCACCACTCAAATTATAAGGGTAAGAGGTCTCATTTTGTAGCAACATCTAGTAGCATTATAAACAGGAGTCCATTTTTTTCTCATGGATAAGCTCAAGTAAAGGGACCCCAACATTTGTATATCTATCTGGCTTTCCACAAGCTAGGAAAGACAAGAGATGTATTAATTCTTCTAAGCTGCATTTGGTCAGTAGCATCAGGATAAGTATAAAGACAGTAAAAATGTCATATTAATTATTCAGACAATTCAATTGCTAAGAAAATTCCGGAGATTCATCATGTTTAACATGATGGAAATGAGCCTAGCCTTACCGTCTGCTTGGCTTACACTCTTCCCTCACCTGTCCCATCCCATTCTGTCTCTCCCTTTTCCTCCCTCCTCCAGTAGGGCTGTGAGAAGTGGCTTGAAAGCTTTTGTTTTCACTTTTGCTTAAGTACCACCCAAGTTTTTGCCACCCAAACTGTGAAAATATTAATGTTAGCTTGAAACAAGCCAACTTCAAACTGGGTAACTTGAACAAACATGGCAGAAGTTGGATCCTTTCCCAAGGGAAGCTCTGATTAATTTGTATACCTGCTTTATAAAGGGCGTGCATCTCCTCCCCCCCCCCTTCTTAGAACATGAGCTAGTCACCTGAATGTGGAGACCTGTATCGGAAATCCTCTTTGGTCAGAAGCAAGAGTGCTTTGCCATTCATCTCAAAAGTGTTGCTTTCAATAGGCCTCAATGAGAACTCCTTTTCTGCCCACTTCAGCCACTGGCCCACATCATCCCTGCTCCAGTAAATGGGCTGTAACCCTGTAAAGAAGACAGTAGAATAATCATACACTGACAAACTAAAATGATAATCAAGTTCTTTCAAAACTCTTCCAAAAGAGAGGGAGCCTAGTGCTACCAATAAAAAGAGCGCAACTATTCCATCTTTTCCTCTGTAAGGATTGTTTTTTCTGGTAAGGGGAAAAGAAGGAGGGCTATAAATGAGTGATGACTCTGGCTAGATTCCTCCCCACCTTTACAGTTCTGTGCAATTACATTATAAATACCCCAAGTGGTTAAACCAGATTTCAACAAACAGGGGTTCTGCTATTTGCAGAATGCAACATTCTGGGACTGCATGTATGCCAAACATCCCTGGTCTCATGCATTGGTGTAGGTATATATCTATTTTTTTCTGTGGATGCAGAGAAAAAGTCTATATAAAGACTGTTCTCCTCACTATAGCCTCACAATTATGAATGAATCATTATACTTTTTATAATGAAGAGTAATATAATTTAGAGCATGGGTCCTCAAACTATGGCCTGGGGGCTGGATCCGGCCTGCCATGCCCATTTGGACCCGCCGTGCATGTGCCCACACCCACACGTGAGTCCGTCGCCGCCCATCTTGCCCTGCACGGGGAGGCAGCAGTTTGCTCACTCAGAGAAAATGATCTCCAAGTGAGCAAGCTGCTGCCTTGTGCGCCTGCCCCGCTTCTCTTCACTGTGCACATGCGCCTCGCCTCCCCTTGCTGCGTGCCCTGCCCCTGCCTCAGTGCACATGCCTGCATGTCCCCCCCCTGCCCCCCCCCCCCCCCGCCGGCCCGCACGCACTGCCAGCACCACCTTTCTGGCCCGTGCCCAGCACCGGCACCTTTCAACTGACCTCCTGATGAAAAAGTTTGAGGACCCCTGATTTAGAGCAATGTGTCAAACACTACTTTTCAACTTTAAACTGTTTTCAGTTTTTTAATCCTTTTTGGCCTTCAAAATAAAGATGTATGAAAAATTTCAATGATTTGCGCACTTTACTCCTACTGTTTTGGATGGGGCGTACAGGTTCCATTTTGACCATACATTAAATTAAATACAAAATAATATTCATTTTAAAAATTGTGTGGACCTGCAAAAAATAAAATAAACTAGAAACACAGCAGAACAAAAGGGGCAGGATTCCTTTCCAGTCCTCATTTGAGCTTTCTTTCTAACCCAACAAAGTAGATCACTTGCTGGATGAGGAACTATAGGCAGGTGATTTCTCCCTGCACTTAATTATATCCAGTGAAATGTGCATCAAGCATGTGGCTATGAATTCCAACAGAACATTTCTCAACCCCAGACCACTGTAAGGAATCTGGCGCAAGGAAAAGCGGGTACGAAAAAGAGGTACGCATACAAGTCAGTCTTCCCATGGAACAGCTGCCAGCCAATAATGCTGCTGCAGCATGTAGTACTACACCACATTCTTGGTAAACTGTAGCCCTATGCTGCAAGGTATGATTTGAAAACCTTAAAAACATCATCACCATCATCTGTGGAGTGCTAAAAGCCATGAATGTAGGTTTGTTCTGATTCTGCAGCATACAGAACAGGTTTCCAGTGATTGGAAGCTTACTGGAAGTGTCCTGCTTAGCTCCAAAACCTCTCCCTGCCACTAGCATAGCAAGAATAAATTGCAAGGGAAATGAAAAAAACAATGGCAGAAGAAATGTCATTTTCAAAAGAAGTGCTCACATAAATCTCCTCAGTTTGCATAGACAGCATAGCATCCAGAATTTCCTGATACAGGTTTGTATCTAGACTTACAGTAGACCCTCTTAACTCAGTGGGGCTTTGGTTAACTAACATCAGTGCTAACCACTAAACTTTGATTTCTTGAGTAGAGAACTGATTTTTTAAAGTGCTTGATATACATTACTGCACCAGTTCTTACAACCATCTACAGGCCAGTATTATTATCCCATAAAGGTGGGAAATGACTGGACTGAAGCTGAGAACTTGCCCAAGTTTAGACTTTGCCTAAGACCATCCAAAGTGAGGTGAAATGAAATACTTTAATTTGGAGTCCTGCACTGAGCAAGGGGTTGCAATGGCCTTACAGACCACTTCCAACTCTGCTGTTCTATGATTCTATGAAATTTGAAATGAGTCTTGAACCAAGCTATTTTAAGAGTGACATACAAACATAATAAATTATTACCATGTAATTAAATTATGATTATTTATGAACAACATAATAATAAATTATGAATTGTTGACCACATCTATAAGTTCTTCAGTTCATACATCTTGATTTTGCTAGTGCTGAAGTCCAAAAGAATGTTGGACTGAGATTTGTAATGAGGGAAATTTTTCAGCTGCTTTCTCAGTAAGCTGCACATAGTTTCAAAATCCAATGTCCACAATTATTGTTTAAGAGTAGTAAATATCATTATGGTTATTACCAAGGATGCTTCTAATACCATAGAAGGCTTTAAAAATATTTGCCATCATCACCAGGAGGGTAAGAGTGTTTCCTTTAAAATGGCTCCAGCCTTCTTTTTGCTGCAAGATAAAGCTCCAGTACCATGCACTGGAGAGGGAGGGTTAGAGTTAAACCGCCCCCCCCTTTTTTTGTTTTTGCTCCTTCCCTGTAAAAACACTTTATTGGGGAGAAGGGTTAAAAGGGATGCATTTGCCTTTATAGAACAAAAACCCTGCATCTTGCTTCTTCACAAGAACTAGCAAAATGTAGGCACCTCTGTAAAATGCATGCAAATGTGTCTGTGTGCATGTGTAAAAAAAGGAGAGAGGTTAATGTGCTGAATAACTGCTTAGACAGCAAACTAGATATTTGTCTAGAGATTCATAGATCCATATTTCCAAGGAGATAGAAAACTTTCTCACTTTTTTTACTCTTCCTTGTGAAATGTCTTATTGTGGTTCTTGATGTGTTGATAAGATGCAAAGATAATTTCATGCAGTATATAAAAAAATCTATCTTTGATCAGATCTTTGGCGTGTTTCCACTGGAGGTGGCTAGTATCTTCATCAGTGGAAGGCTCTCCTCCCTTCCTTTCCCATACTATACCTGCCCAAGGGCACCTTATTACTCCCAAGAATATGTTTAGCTTCTGGTAAGCAACACTGTGAGATCTAATATTTTTTTCAGCTTCCGAACACAAATGTTCTAAGTGAAATAAGCCCTTTTCTCAGGAGTCACCTTAACATGAGCAGATACTGCTTTTATCCTTATAAAAATTGCTTCACTGAATCAGATCATAGGACCAACTAGCCTAGCCTTCTCCAATAGTGACCAAACTGATGCGCCTGGAAACCTACACGCAAGGCATCAGGGTGATGCCCTTATGTCTCCAAACATCTGGCATTCAGAAAGTTATTGCTTCTGAGTATGGAGGGTTCATTAAGCTATTACAGATAACAGGCTCTGAAAGGCCTCTTCTATGAATCTGGTCTCTAACTAAATTGCTACTGTCGCATCTTGCTGTAATGAATTCTACATATGAATGATGTTCCCTTCATTTAATTATGAATGATCAGATCTTTGGCTCTCACTTATAATTATCTTCAGTTGGACAAAGATGGAGCATAGTTCAGAGTAATGAACCACACACAGTGGTTTTCAGATAGGTTAGAACAGAAGAAAAGCCATGCTGGATCAGCCCAAAGGTCCATCTAATCTAATACTTGGTACACACAGTGGCTAACCACCTGTCACAGGATTGCTTCAGCAGGATGGATGTGAAACCCCCACATGCCCAAGCTCCTTAGCAACTGGTTTATGCAGGCGTGCCATCTCATGTAGCACATCAGCAGGGCTAGTAGCCTCCTCCCTCATGAATCTGTCCAATCCCTTTTAAGAGTCATCCAGCTTGGTGGCCACTGCCACTTCCCATGGCAGTGAAATCCACAGCTTAACTACGTATATGACATGTGAAGAAGTACTTCCTTTTCTCTGTCCTAAACCTTCCACTAATCAGCTTCCTGGATTGACAGTGGGTTCCAGTGTTATGAGAGAGGGAGAAAAATGTTGCCCTCTCCACTTCCTCCATACCATGCATTATTTTAAACACCTCTATCATATCTTCCCCTTTTTTCTAAGTTGAATAATCAGAGCTCTTGTAGCTGCTCCTCATAGAAGAAATGCTCCAACCCCATGATCATTTTTGTTGCTCTTTTCTGTAGTTTTTCCAACTCAATAATGTCCCTTTTCAGGTAAGGCAACCAGAACTGAACACAATATTCCAAGAGCAGTCACACCAAAGATTTGTATATGGGAAGTAAGATTTTGGCAGTTCTACTTTCTTATCTGATCCTAATTATGCCTAGCATGGAGTTCACCTTTTTTATAGTGGTTGTGCACTGGGCTGACATTTTCATCAAGTTGCCCCTTATTACCCCAAGATCCCTTTCTTGCTCAGTCATTGCTAGTTCAGATCCCATCAGCGTATATGTAAAGATGGGATTCTTTGCCCCAACATGCATTATTTTACACTTGCTTACAATGAACTGCATTTGCCATTTTGATCCTCCCTCACTCATCATAGAGAGATCTCTTTGCAGCTCCTCACAATCTCTTTTGGTTGTAACCATCCTAAATAGTTTAGTGTCATCAGCAAACTTGGGCACTTGACTACTAACTCCCAATTTCAGATAATTTATGAATAGATTAAAAAGCACTGCTCCTAATAAATAATCCCACTGGTTACATCTCTCCATTGGAAAAAAAATGCCATTTATTTCTACCCTCTGCCTTCTGTTCTTTAAACAGTTGGTCATTCACAAGAGGAACCCCCCTTCCCCCCGCACATTTTATTCCATGACTGTTTAGTTTGCTTAAAAGCCTCTGGTACAAGACTTTGTCAAACGCCTTTTGGAATTCCAAGTAAACAACATCTACTGAATTGCCCCATCTATGCATTTATTGACACTGTCAAAGAACTCCAGTAGGTTAATGAGACAAGACATCCCCTTGAGGAAACCATGCTGATTTTTTATCAGTTTGTTCCTCTATGTGCTTGCTGATTCTATCTTTAATAA